TACCAATGGATTGGTAATTTACTCATTTCATCATTAATTTTTTCACTGATAAAATTCTTCTGCATGAAAAAAATCACTCCGAATTTCCTGAGACATTGAATAATGCCAAAAGCGTTGCATTTTTCCGTCAATCGAATCGGAGAAAAAAATCAGGGAAAAGTGCAGAAAATCCATAAGGGAAATACATAATTAAGACTCACAGGTTGAATATGTGCACTTCCATCAGCTTTAAATCTCAAAGTTTCTTTGCCGGTTCCATATCCAGATTTTTTCCCTTTCCTGGGATCAGAACGAGGTCCAATACTTCCAAATCCATTCTTCTGGGGCTCAATCAGTCTGAGAGTGAACATCGAGCCCTTCGGAATTTCCTTCAACATCTTGGCAACTTCGAAATGTCGTCTTCCTACTAGATTCTCCTCGTTAATTTTTTCAATATGATCACCAACTTGTATTATTTTTATTTTATCAATCACAGATCCTTCTTTTATTCTCTTTATGAAAGCGTAGCCTGCACCGTTGTCTGTTATCGTCAGGCCCAAGGCATCTTCGGTTTTTATCAATTCTATTTCCTTCGGCCTCCCTGAACATTAATAAAAACAATTATCCATAATAATTTGTTATTAAATGTATTCAGGAAAATTCATTCATTGTGGAATTCTTGGAAAGTTCTTGTCGTATTTTCATCTCATGACATCATTTTTAGAGATAATTAGGGAATCAACAAATATTTCATATCTGAGACCAATTTTTATCTCTGATTTTTTTTTTTGATCATTATCTTTAGGGGAAGGGTTTACCGGGGATGTGAGGTTTTTCTTCATGTTCCAGAAAAATTCGTTTCATATTTCAAATTCATGATATCAAATTTTTTCAGAGATAATTATGAATTGAGATTTATACAATTTTTTATTATAATGAATGAAAAAATATTTGTCATGCCTAATTATTAAGTAAGTGTAATCAGATTAATTATTTCGCGAAATCGTACCTTTTCGATGGGCGAATATGAAATCCTCGAGGCCAATTTGTCCCCCAAGTAGTTCCGACATCTCGGCTTTGTGGGTATTCAACGTGCAGAACAATATCTGAAATTCATATCGTTAATTGTGCAAAAAAGTATCGGTTGTTGGGAAATATGATATATAAAGGTCTCCACGGCGTGATGAAATGTGGGCCGGGGAAATTCACCGAAGGCACTCCACAATACGATAAGCAGCAGAGAAATTGCACAATCCGGTAATTCTACGAACACACATAATGGAAGTATTGACCTTTCTAAAATCAATCCATTGGGAATAACATTCGCTTACACGTCCACGTAATTCTTCTGATTTCTGTCAATTACAATCATTAAATTACTGGATTAATATCCATTACACATCGACTTACAAATATTATTAACAATATGTCTTGATACTTCACTACTAAATTATTAAAATATATGAGAAATCGAAGGGGAATATTTGCACGATACCTGGAGACTTAAATGGAATTTATTCTCCATTTAATTACATGGAGGTACTGATAATTTATAGGTTATTAATAAATTATTACGGATATTCACAAATTATTCATTCGTCAATAAACTTGTACTATTCCAAACGCCATACTATTTTCCACTCAATTTTTATTTATATATAACTCTTATATTCTGACTCTCAATTTTTTTACGTTTAATTCTCATTTTTGGAGATTTAATTATTAATTTTTATTTTTTCCCCTCACCTTTCGCTTTAATTTTGCAAAATCTAGTTCTCAGTAATTACAAAAATGTAAACCACAATTGAATTGATTTGAAGATTAATTTTTCAAGTTATCATAAAAAAACGATTGCTCCTTTTCGCAAAAAAAAAAACAAATAAACATTATTCCCCAATCAGGAATTGGTCAGACGTCCACCTGTCGAGTTCCCACGGTAATTGTCGATCTTAATCACAGCAATTTCTTACATTGAATCAAAATGAATAAAACCAATGACTTTCATCTACCAAACAAGAGAGATGGGAATGTAAAAGTGTAGAGGAGAATATCCGTCGGGGTCATGCACCATGACCAATGCTTCCTGCGTCCGGCGAAGGGTGAATTAAAAAAAAAGGAATAAAAAACGATGGATAATAAAAAAGGTGAAATAGAAATGAAAATAGATAGAAACTGACCTCACTGGCAGGTAAATCGTGACAATCAGCAATTCTCTGGTACAACTCTCGAACGTTGCTGAATCCAGAAATGAAACCTGTTGGGCTGCCATGAGCCAATTGGCATCGAAAGACAAGTTGTGTTTTACTCTCGTCAGTCTGGGCCTCAGGAAAGCGATTCTGGGGACTGTTTCTGTCCCGTTTACCATTGCCATTGGTGGTGTTCATCTGTGAACTACTGTTGCTCACCGTGTCGTGACCCTCACCATCCTGAGCTCCGTTATTCATTTTCTCCGGGCTCGAGGATGATCGGGACGATGAGCTCTTTGGTTTAAACAACGGCATTTTTTAGAACACCTGTTTCGAACATGTTTAACAAAATATTCATTCAGTCGCTCCATTATTTATTTTTTTTTCAATTGTTTGGTGATTTGGTGAATCGGAAACTTTCAGGATTTTTAAAATTTGGTGTGAAATTTCGGTGATTTTAGCGATGAATTTTTCATTTCTACAGATTAATTAATTAATTAATTCATTTTATGTAATATAATAATATATCCTTTCCACCGAATTGTCTGTCCTAATTAAGAATGACCACTTTCTAAATTTCTGAATTGTTATGCATCAATTTTAATTAATATTAATTTCAAATTTAGAAAAGTGATTTTCATTTTTCCACAGACACAAAAAATTGACGCGCAAATGATTCCCCCACGTATTGAAATCTCTAAAGCTGGCCTTGACATTCGAAAAAATGATCGAAGTCCTCTGAATTCGCCGTCAACAATTGATTTCTCTTCCGAATCGATTAATTATTGCTAACATCCAATGAAAGACTCCGGTCCTTCAATCCTCACCAAAATGAATTTTCACCGATAATCAATAACCGATCGGAGCATAAATATTATCATAAAAATCTTGCCTGCAGCATGAACCGCAGACATTGAAAAAGACAGACACGTCATAAAGATAAGGAAAATTACACTGTACCCATACCTCCGTTAATTTCGTAATATTCACGTAAAATGTATTCCTTTAAAAAAAAAGAACGTAATCCAGAAACAATGTCCACAGGTAATTATTCCCGCACGTACGGCACGTCTGACATTCCCGATTTATCACACATATTCCATTATTATCGTGAGCATGATCCACTGGATTTATCAGACAAGACACTGTTATCACATCGAATTGAAAATTACGAAAAGAATTTGTTCGATAAAAAAATAATTCTCAGGCGATAAAGCACCGTTTCTCTATTAATGCAGAAGATTCTAGTGCGATAATGAGACTCGAGGCGCGAAAAACTGATTTAATAGTTCACCTGGCATTGTCGAGTGCTCGATGACAACAAAAAGGTGTGTAATACACCGTACAGAGAATTCTCGTGACTCCCTGTACAAACGCCTGTACCCCACCACAATAACTTTTTTTTTCCACTCAATTTTTTTTCTTTCCTGTGTACCGAATGCCGGTGTTCACCGTTTCACCTACTGTCTCGTTTAATTAATCCTTTCGACACACCCATTATTTATTACTCGAAATATAAATTTTCGGAGTCATTGTTTGGAAATAAAATAATAATCCTAGAGTTAGATGGGAGGGACGAATGAGTTGGAAACTTTTTTTTAAATTATTTGGAGGCAATTGATTGTCAATTTGACTTGACACTTGCATTAATTTATGAAGAATAAATCAATGTAATAATATTTGGGGATAAAACGGGATTGTTTTATTGAATTTTCATTGTTCCATGTGATGACGGTATGTGTAAATAGATAATATCGTTTGTGTAACTTAATTTGTAATTAGTAGTACAAAGAAGATCGATAACATTTATTGGAATAAATCGTATAGAGCGATTGAATTTTAATTCATTGTAATAAAGAGAAGAGAGGAGATATAATTTTCATAGAAAAAAAAACATCACAGTTGTCGTCAGATCTCTCTGGTATTATCATTACCTTATCCTACATTATAATTAATTATTGTTGTCGATTCACAATTAATAAAAAATGCCGTTGAATTGAGATTATTTCTATTCTTCAATTCAGAGTTAAAAAATTTGCGGCAGTATTTGGAATCTCGAAATTATCTACTGAATTTTCGGTATATTGTTCATAACATTTCGTGTGTATATTTCTAGATTTATTGCGTACAGTAAAAATCGGTCAACAATTTGAGATTGAATTGAGATAAAAACCTTGGAGTAGCAATTCAGCTGTGAAGTGGTCGAAGGACATTAAGATGAACAATTCATATAATTAATTTGATTATTAAATCATGTTTCATGTTTTCGCCAATTTTGAATTCCAATTAATTTCTTCAATTTTCAAAAAAAAATTCCCCAACAATCGAATTTCTGTGTAGAAATAACGATTTTCACATCGAGTGTCAATTTCATTTGTCGATTTCATTGCGGTCTCGCTGAAAATTTTTTTTTCAGATCCTCTAGAAGTCGACAATTATTTTCCATTTACCACTTCACATCAGAATTCCACGATTCCACAGCACCTAACGGTTTATTAATTTAGAATCAATTAATAAAATCCCTCCCCAGGTGTATCTCAGGCTGTTTAATAAAAACCTTCCAGACCTTTCCACAATTTGAGGTATCCTCCATGGTTAAATACCCTTGCATTGGCAGTAAAAGATTATCATAGGGATCAGTATCCAACTGATACTGCTGCATGGCACGATAGACAGCCCTGAAGGGTGGCTGTTTCATCAAGTGAAAAGTCCCCCTGGAGCCATGAACCACCAGGGCACCCTCTCTCTCAGCCTCAATGCACACCGACATGTACATACAATGATCAGGACGATAATTGTACCTGCAGGAATAGATATACAATCTCTCCGGATGATAATGGAAGATGATATTTATAATATCCTGATCTCCCCAGGTTATCTTGAGTTTCCACTCCTTGTGGATGGGAATCACGTAGTCTGTCCATCTGAAATCTCGCATTCGAGTGAGATTCATCAGCATTACTCCAGAATTCACCCCCAACTTTCCATAATAAGGATGTTTGGCAAATCGGTTGTACCATCCAGTATTGGGATCCTCGTGCTCTGGGCTCAGGGCTGCCAGTTGCGACGAGTTCATCAATTTAAATTCATCCCATACGAGCTCTGGAGGGGCCAGGAAGAGTGTGTCTGTATCCACGTACAGAATGCTGTCTACGTCATTAAGTAGAGTCTGAAAAATGTTTAATCGAAAATTCAGGATAATATCTTAATTTCAGGATGAAAATTCAATTTTTTTTTCAAATTCAAATTCAAACTTCCAGAATTCCACACGGAGAATTCTTTTTTTTATTAATTAATCCATTATTATCTTATTTATTTATCAATTTTCCATTCTTACAGGTAAAAAAAGTCTCTGAGCTGCACACGGTTTGAAAAGTTTTTTCCACATAACAACATCGCTGTGTTCTGGAAATTCAATGGGTTTAACAACATAACTAAATGTTTTATTGGTCTTGTACTTCCAATCTGTGAGTTTCTCATCAAAATCGATGATCAAATTGGGTTCAGTGATGATGATGAATTTCAATGATCGATTGGTAAACACAAGAGCAGATTTGAGCATCGTTAGGGCCTCATCTAATCTGTCACCGCAAATCACAACGCAAATCACCACTTCGTCTTGGGTTATCACTTTAACAGGTGCTTCAATTAATTCAGGTATTTCTCTTGATTTTTCATTCTTCAGGCCAAATATTTTGCTATTTGAAAATTGATTTGTGAAATTCAAAAGCACTACTAGACCCACGAATAGAAGGAATAAAAAACCGAATCTGTACACCGATTTCATGATTGTTTATTGATGGAGTGATGAAGATGTTCATTGATGTTTTTTTTTATTTATCACATCATTGTCATTGGAATAACGGTGTCAGATTTATTCGGTTGTTTGCAGAAGATGTTCACAAGTATTGTTTTTATTTTGACACATCTTGACATAACCTCACATCGTGCAGCTTCGGATTTCATCGCGGTTCTTCGTGAATGGTTCAAATTTCTCGGGTTACACCAGCGATTATTCATTTCCGCTTATATTTTCTCACGTTTATGGAATTATTTTCCATTCTTTGTTTATTGTTCTCTAGTTCTCTTCACTTTCTAATTTCGCAAAATGTCATTTTCGAATTTCGCGGATAAAACGGTGGGTGCCATCTGTGAAATGCAATCCCAAGAGATAAGATTTGAGCAGAGATTATTTGAGCGTTAGCAACAGATTAGCAATCTCCCTTTATAACAGCCGCAAAACTTGAAGTCAGTACGACCTAACAAATTAGAAGAAGAAAAAGAAGAAGGAGAATCTCCCCTATAATCTCTGGAGTCACTTTCGAACAGGTATGTACCAACGCCACATTATGATTGTTTTTCTAAATGCCAGTTGAACCATTTTTTCAGATATTTTCATTCCAGAAAAAAAAAGAATGAATCACAAATCAGGGAACGATACTCCTCCTGATGAAGATGATCAGGGCGAAGTGCCGACCTGGCAAACGCTATTTGAGGGTGTGAAAAATATTGTGACTTCTAAAGAATTTATTATTGGAGCTTCTGCAGTCGTAGGAGCAGTGTCAGCTGTTGCGGCCGCACCTAAAGTTGCTCAAGCCGTAGGATATCGTGAAGAAGGAATTAAGAAAAATTCCCCTGCATCATCAATGATGCGCCGACATGAGGGGTTCACACCTGCTGGTGGTGTAGTTTCAACTCTTCAGCATGTTGGCGCCAAAAATAGTGTTCTTGGATCGACTAATGCCACCCTCGCTTCAGTAGGAATTGGTGCAGGAATCGGTGCAGGAATCGGTGCACTTTTCGCTGCCATTGGTACAGCTATTGCCGACAATTGTGAAAGTCCCGATGATTTTGATCCAAATCATGGGAAAACTGTCAAAAAAATTGATGACTAAGAGTTTTCGGGAAAGAAAGTACAGTATGAAGGTGATTAATCACCAGTACTCCATTTTTTATAACGCAACACCCGTTCATTCCTATCTTTTATGACTCACATGAGTCTACGTATTACAGAAGATAAGAATTATCAAATAAAATTATTTTCCGATCGGATCAATTGCTCGGATCGTTTTCTATAGCGGGATATGGGTAGTATATTAATTTTTTATATATATATTTGTATATGCATGCATGCGACATATATCAGGATAATTGATATATATTTTTGAATATATATTTTCTCCATGTGAGCACATCCTATCGTAATCTTCAACAATTCCCAACAACGGAGAACTCATTCATTAACGAATTGTTCAATCAGGTATTTTTATTATGTATCATGTGTTTTGTCTGTTTCAATGACACACGTCTTGCCTGGAATTCGAATGAATTAAATTTTTTTCGTCAAAGACGAGAGATCTCTCATTATAATGGCCCAGAGGCGGCTGAATAAATGGGTCTGATTAATCGAAGGTAAACAACTCGGATTGGTCAATCCTAAGATAAATAATGCAGAAACCATATTTACTCTCTAGGATACTCTTTCAATTTCTTCACGTCACGATTTTCAAAAAATATTATTGTTTTTCGCCCACTGGAGAAGACTGCGGTAACCTGTGAAGTATTGAGATATTGTATTTACATATTTCTTCGTTTATGATTCCAGTTTCGGGGATTTAGAATTTATTTTTATAGAATTCATGATGTGATACAGTGAGATGACTGTTTTGTATATTTTTTCAACAACTTGAATTCTTTTGCAATTATTTTTTTGGCTTTGTTTTTTTTTGCAATGATTCGACTTTATTTGTAATTGTTTGCCAAATTACCGATGGGATTAATATAATAATAATAATTTTGTGATAGTGTGATAATTTTCCTGCATTTTCTCTACAATTTGTGATTATTTCTCAAAATTCGGAAAAACGTAGAAAAAATGTCGCGCCATCTTGAAACTTCATGAGTCATTAAATAACGACAAAACGCAAAAACGTTATATTTTTTACATAAAACCCATCGTAATCTTGCCAGAAAAATGAAAAAAGTTAATTTTGAAAAAATATGGGTGAAGACCCCTCCAAAGGGGTACATGTCCTAAACAATTTCTCCTGAAAAAATCAATTCTCAATTGAAAAAATATTGAATTGTCAAATTGAACAGAAAAAATGTGGGATCGAAGAGTCACTTGAATCTCATGGTTTGGAGGTCATCGAATTGAAGGACGCGGTAACCATTTAAGGTACAAGATAATTGTGCAAGAGTTCACGTACATAAGAAAAACGTCGTCACGTATTTTTATATGATCTCATAGTGTTCTAACGTATATCAAGGAGAAAAATATTCAACAGGGGAAGAGGTTGGTGAGATGATCATGACGTTGGAGGACCAATTAAGGTTCACCTGCCTACATGATCCTGGTTGGAGTCACATTGTAACTGGCTCGAGGATAAAACCAGAAAAATGGAACGTGGGTGGCACCAGAGGATTGAATCATGGTCGTGCGTGGGTCACTGGTGGGAATTTACCATGAAGATATTTCTGTATATTTTCGTTGAGATTCTCCAAGAGATTGGCAGTCCCTGCTTGCTCTCTCAACAGCAAGGATCACTATTTATTTTTGAGATTTGGTAAATGCGCATTTTCTAGTTCATGTGACTTCAGTTACTATTGATTTCAACTTCGTTGGCTCTTTCTATTCATCATTCTTATTTTTTTTTTAAGAGTGAGCAGAAACATGGGATTTTATCGCACTATTTTATTGGCGGCAGTTTTCACTGCTTCCGCTTTCGCGGATAGATATCATTATGGACGAGTGCTATCTACAGGTAAATATATTTTTTTTTATGAAATTTTTTAATACGTCAATTTAACGAGCTTGAAATCGTCGCGAGAATGAGGAATTATTCGGAGTTCATTTAATTTGGGAATTGGAAATATGAATCGATGCGAGTTCGAAATGATGAGTTGAGTTCTATTCGTTTGTGAATCCATAAGCAAAGGATTTGTGACTGTTGCCAGAATTTTTTCTCTCATTTTTATAATCATCCCCTTTTTTCATGAACAATGGATAATCAAATTTTCGCGTCATTTCTTTCCTTTTCAACTTGAGAAAAGTGATTTTAAATCGATTCTCGTAATTAATTTTTTTGTCACGTATTCATATTTATTTCTAGACTTGTTTTATTCATGGAAGAAAAAACGGTAATTCTCGAATGAATCTCCAGTCGCAAATGAACAATTAATTTATTCAATACAGATGCATGATTTCTTGAAACCGGTTCTCCAGCAGAATTTTTTTTTCAGCGGGCTGTGCTTCATACACTTGTGGTCAAAATGCAAAGTGTACAGTGACAGATGGTAGACCCGTCTGTTCGTGTTTAAATCTTCACATGGGCGATGCTCTTGTGCAATGTTTCAAAGTCGAGTGCATAAGTAAGTGAACAAATATATAATTTCTTTCCTAATAACTTATTTCCTAATAAAACAAATGATTTAAGATGATGTTTAAAAGAGTTATCACATACGTATTCTTGGAAATGACTGAATCAATGTGAAATTTTGGACTCTAGTCGATGAGGACTGCCCAAGCACGAGATCCTGTGCTGGCAATCACTGCGTAGACCCCTGTCCTGGCTCCTGTGGGACTAATGCCAACTGCGAGGTAAGGAATCACGTGCCGACGTGTTTCTGTCCCCGAGGTTTCACCGGTGATCCATTCACATCCTGCCGCGTTGCAGACCCTTGTCAACCTAGCCCCTGCGGCCTGAACACGCGCTGCGATGTCGTCAATGAAGTTGCCGTTTGCAAATGTCTACCAGGATACAGGGGCTCACCCCTTGCCGGATGTCGTCACGAGTGCGAGAGCGATGCCGAATGTCCCAGTCACCTTTCCTGTTCTTCTAATTTCAGGTGTGAAAATCCATGCTCCACCTGTGGAGAGGGGGCCAATTGCAATGTAGTCAATCATCAGCCTAAGTGTTCCTGTCCAGAGGTAAGTGGATTTAAAAGTTTTCTACATCCATATATATTTTTGATTCTATTATTTTTTCTTTAGAACTGGCAAGGTAGTCCTTACACGAAATGCTACCCAGAGTGCACGATTCACTCGGAATGTCCAGCTGGCAAGCCAGCCTGTCTCTACCAGAAATGTACGAATCCTTGTACCGGAGCTTGTGGAACCAATGCCAACTGTGAGCTCAGAGGAATAACTCCAGTCTGCAGTTGTCCAAGGGACATGACCGGCAATCCATTTATCAGTTGCAGACCATTTACTCCAGGTGAATTCAATCACTTTTCAAGTAACAATTATTAATTTTAATGAGTCATCTGTCAAACTTGTTTCAATTTCAGAGGATCTTTGTCAACCAAATCCCTGCGGTGAGCACGCAGTCTGCACTCCTGGTCACGACAACACAGGAAAAGAGCGTCCGGTCTGCACCTGCCCCACGGGATACACCGGGAACGCTCTCGTAAGCTGTCGAAGAGGCGAATGCCAGGCAGACAGCGAGTGTCCAGACAGCAAAGCCTGTATCGATTACTTCTGTCAGAATCCCTGCACTGGAAAGGAATGTGCACCCAATGCCAAGTGCGAGGCACGTCGTCATATTGCTGTGTGCACCTGCTTGGATGGAACCAGAGGAGATGCTGTCGTTGGGTGCAATCAGATTGTATCCAATACGAGGAATGGACGATTTGGATATGGAAGATACTACTCATCGTAATTAAATGAAATCCATGCTCTTACTTTCACTACGGAGCAGATTTCTTTCAAGTGGTAAAGTGCGGAAAGTTGGAGGATTTCGTGTCTAGTTTATTTGATTAATTTTGGGATAATTCTTGAGCTCAGAGGAAAGGCTCGTATCATTTTTCTGATGCTTATCATCAAAACAATACGGTAATGTATTATTTTCATTCGAGCACAAATTAATTATAATATATTCTAATTACCTCGACATTCTGTACCAGCAAAAATACGTAAAAAATATTTTTAATAACATATTACACTGAATCAGTTAATAATTTACGTATTTTTAATGTAAAATTCAGTAATAACGCTTGACTGACGAATTATTTTGAAGAAATTGTTACTTTATGCCATTCGTAATGATTTTTATGAACAAATGTTATACTAATTAAACAGGATAATAGTGAGCAGGATCACGAAAATGTAAAAAAATGTGTTTTTATTTGTTATAAAATAAATTTCCACAATCCCGTGGATCTTCGCATCATGCCGAGAAAAAAAAAATTACTTAACGTATCTTGATGTTTAGAAAATTCCCATTAAATCGACTTAAAAGCAGAAAATTCCAATTATTTATTTAATTATAGATGCAAAAAGGCCAATCGGCTTTTTTTATTACGTCCTACCAGATTTAGACGACTGTAGAACGAGTGGAAGGGGGAAAGGGGAATTTCAAATGGAAAAAATTATTCAATACATTGAAGATATACTACTAATTAAATTAAATTATTATAGTGAGCGCGTTGTCTAGCGGGCAACGTGCTTGGCTGGCACACGGACGGCTAGGGTTCGGTCCCGCCATTATTCATTTTTTTTTTTCAAAATAATTCCAATTTTTTTTTTTTATAAATGACTAATCAATGAAAATATCGTTTAAAAACTAAATTTTTGAAAATCGAGAAGATATCCAGTGAAATTGACAAATTAGCAATTTTTTAAAACAATACTTTTGCAATATATATACTCCTAATGAAATTATAATATTGCAAAAGCGCGTTATCCTAGCGGTAACGTGCTCGG